TAAGGTTTGAGAAATAAACAGGTTTGAGAAATAAACAGGTTGAAGGACGCATCTGAGAGGAGTGTCCTGTAGTATGGAGACACGATTAACCATCTGTGAAGAGAGGACCAAGGGGTAAAAATAAAGCATTTTTTCCAAAGGAGCCCTAGGGCTCAGAATGTATCTGTAAGTGGCACAGACTGAAGATGAATGGCTACTCATCTAGAAAGAGGGGAACAAGGCGTCCCTGGTTCCTTTCTTTTCCTAGCGAACGCCCAGGGTACATGAGAGAGAGAAGGAAAAAGCTTCCTCTTTCCTTCTTTCATCCTTATATCCCCAAGTCCTGGTGACCACAACAGGGTGCCACCCATGGGTGTCAATGCAGCTTTCACTCATGTTAACAGGTGGGCCTAGGGCATGAGATTATCCACATTTCCCCATGCACTCACTGCCTTTCCCTCTGCTATAAGTAGCCTTTGAGTTCCCGAAACCTCATTTACGCCATGGATACTAGCATGACCTCTATCCATGAAATGGGAGGCTTGGCTTAATCAACCAGAATTAGTCATGCTCATGTGTGGTGTGTGCCTTTTAACTTCCATTGCTGTCTGCCTCTGGATCCCTAAGATCCAGTTTTCTTTCCTAGGGCTTCAATCCAAAGCTTGGAATTGAGTTTGGGTCAAAAGAATTGCCTCCCTATCATAAGCCAGATGCTAAGGTGAAGCTCTAAAATTGGGTCCTCTCAAACATGAGAGAGAAAAGGGTGTTCTGTGCATTGGAGTTCTGGCCTAATAAAACACCTTTCAAGAAAAATCCTCTGGCATTGAGAAGCCCCTTGTACTCACAGGGCTGTGTTATTAGGTTGGTGCAAAATCAATTGTAGTCCCTGCCAATCTAGGTAATAGCAAAAACTGTAACTACCTTCACACCAGTCCATGAACTCCTGACCTGGTGGAGAAAAGAAAGGAAAAAAAAAAAAAAAAAGCTTAAGCAGAGGGCAGGGAAATGCCTGGGGAAGAAACCTCTTGTTCTTATGCAAACAGAGAGAACATTTTAATCGTTGTCCCACCAAGCTGGACTCCTTGGCCACGGGAGAGGAAGACTGTATGGATGTGTGGCAGGGAACACTGGCCACCTGTCTGCACAGGGCCTCTGGCCCCCAAGATTGCCCTGGGGCCCAGGCAGCAACTTCGGCTCTGTCCCACCCTGCATGGCTGTTGGACACCAAGTGTATATACAGCAGACACGGCCATGTGCCCCAGCAGGGAGGGAATGGGGCACAGGGAGCCACCACTTTCGCATCTTTCCTGTGTGGCAGCCATTGGGGTTGGGGTGGAACACCCTTGGTATTGTAAAAGAAAAGATAGGTGCCATTACAGTCCTGAAAAAAAAAGAAGAAAAATGCCTTAGCAAAGACTGTGTTGGACTGAGGCCGACATTCCCAAATCCAAGAGTGACGCAGGGGATGCAGTTTCCTCTGCCTTCAGAAAAAGTCTAAGAACTGGAAGGCCTAGAAACGAAAGTGAAAGGAAGGGTTCACATTTTACTCACCCTTCCTCATGTCCCCATATAGGCCAACAAATGATGCAGGCATTTTTGGTTCTTAATTCAGCTAAATCCAGGTGCTTGTCTCACGACCAGGAAAAATTAAGCATGCAGACACATTGAAGGGTAAAGAAGGTGGAATTTATTAAGAGAAAAGAAAGCTCTCAACAAAGAGAGGGGTCCTGCATTCAGTTTTCCACCTCACAAATTAAATACCAGGCCACCACACATGAGCTGAAGAGGCCAGGATTCTCCCCTGCATAAAGCATGACTTTCTGGTAGCTCCACCCCGTTTTTCCAGTGCACGTGTGGGTCCTTAGTCTGAGCCACTCCACAATGATTTATTTCCCTTACTGAGTATGTGTTAAGGGACATGCTTAGACCATGGGCATGTTTAGACAGGCCTCCTGTGCACAATGACCTGGGCAGGTTGGAGGTTCTCCGAGGACCCTCTCTTATCTGCCAAGACATTTGTCTGTGTCCTGCCTCTATCAATAGATATTAAAGTTCATTTTTCCTTTTGCTTGGTTATTTTTCTGGCTTTCATCATTAAATTACAGACAGTGATTTTAATGACCATCTACCTGGGTTCTGAAAGGCTCTGTAAAGAGCACACACTTGGGATTTGGATATTTTTCCTTCAAAAGAACAGATAAATTCCTTGCGCCATATCAGTTAGGTGGTGAGTGGAAGTATTAGAATTTGAAACACAATTGCTTTATTCTGAATTCTGTTTTTGTTGGTTTTGTTTGTTTGTTATGTTACCAAGTTAAAATCTTGGCTTGAAAGAAGTGTTTTAAGGTATAATTATGGTCCAAAAGCAGATTCAGAGAAAAACTTTCACTAATTTCTAGTCCTTTACTACTTCTAGAAGTTCACATTTTATTACTAGCTTTTAAAGTAGCAACAAAGACAACAATGAACCGTGCATGGCTTGTTAAATGAATATGAAAACATGTGAAGTAATGTGGCTTTTAGGCTTCTTCAAATATTGTTTGGAATTGTGAATTTTTAAAATGGAGATTCTTTACACAAAAATTGATTCAATTACATACAATGTTTACTGTGTGCCAGATGTCATTCAGATGCTTTAAAAATAGTAAATAATATGTTCCTCCTAACAAATCAAGAAGTAGGTGCTATTATTCTCATTTTATAGATGAAGAAATTGAGGCACAGAGAGCTTAAATTGTCCACAGTCACACAGCTTGTGTTGGTTTCAAGAGTAGATCCAGGTAGTCTGACTTCAAAGACCATGCTCCTTATCATCTGTTATGTTGCTAAATAAAATACTGACTATGGAAGACCTAGGAACAGAAGGAAGTGCTGCCATAAGTAACTTTGCTTCTAACCATAATGCTTGTGAATATTTTCATCCCACGGACTTCCTGCAACTTTACAATAAAATCAACTCCTGGTTCCTCATGGGCCTTCATACATGTTGAAGATTAGCTATCAATTTTGGTCACTCAACCAAGTGAATGTGGAATACTTCTCTTTAATAGGCCGTCTCTAAGGAGCTCTCTTAGTAAGAGTAGGTGCTCCTTTTCAAGGAAACTATTTGGATCCCGTGTCTGACTGTTGGCCTAATCACCATGTTTTTAAGTGTTGGCTGAGTTCATTGTAGCAAATTGCTTTTTTGGAAGCACTACTCCTACCTGAGGCTATTCTTCACATTTTTAAATATTATTTAGAGTTTTTGGTTATGTAATTCACTCTTCTGCTAGAATTGACAATCTTCTTCTTCTTTTTTTTTTTTTTTTTTTTTTTCCTGAGACAGAGTCTCGCTCTATCACCAGGCCGGAATGTAGTGACACAATCTCAGCTGACTGCAACCTCCACCTCACAGGCTAGAATTGACAATATTCTGTGGTAGTGGTGGTAATTTATTAAATATGGAAGAAAATGAAATCTTCTTACTGCCACCAAAATAAATATCTGAAGTGTCCTTGTGAGAATCAATAAGCGAAGTGCAACTAAATTAAAAAGTTAGATTAAGGTATAGGCAGAATCTTGGGACTATTAATAAATAAAGGGTTTGGTTTCATTGTTTTATTGCCTGAGATTCTATTAGGTAAAAAAGCAAACATCGTATATAAACTTAATTGGCACATGATCAAATCTATACAAATTTACTATCTCTAATGATATTCCTGAATGTTATATTTAATTTTAGGTTTGTCCCAAATAATGCAATAATAAAATTGGTCATTCTCCGTGTCTTTCCCCCAGTATTATCACACTGGAAAAACAAACTTTCTATTCCAAAGTTAATTTTATTCTTACCTGCCAGGAATGTGAACAGATCTAAGAGTATCAGCCAGCCAAATTTCCTCTTTGTCCTATTTTCAGTTGCATCTCAGCACATTAAATTGGGAAAAAAAATTGCCCTTCAAGGGCTTACTATCAAGCCCATCGCTTGCACTCTCTTGATCTGGGTACATGTGGCTTTATTCCAGCCTCTTCTCTGTAGGTCTTCTAGTCCTTTCAAATGCCCTACTGGAGAGAACCCAAGACCACTCCATCGGCCTTCTCCTCTATGTGGTCTACATCTGTTTCCCAGAAAATAATCATGCACCATTGTTCCTGCAGTCACGAGGAGTTTTGGCCAACTTAAAATAGCACCATTTTCTTGCCTTTGTCCCCAGAGCACCCATGTGCTTCTCCTCAATTTCCTAGGAAGGAGTCAGATCCTGGCCCACTGCCTTCATCTCCAAGGAGAAACCAAGCTCTTCACTATGGCTCCTGTGAAAGGCTCTCATTAAGCTTGAGATTGGAAGTTGTCTTCTATCACCGTTTCCCCTAAAGGGCATGGAGATCCTAACACCACCAAAATTCTCTCCAAATAAATGTCTACTCATTTATATAGTTCTACAATGAGTATCAGAGAGTAAGGTCTTAAAATATGTTTCTTTGGAAAGTCTACATATGTAGTTTTAGAAAGTTATATCAATTGAGCTTGGCATTTAGTTGACACATTAAGGTTAACCTCTTTTTACATTGTCAAAAGCAATAATCACCATTAGTGACAAGCAAAAAAGATGGAAAATTCCTTTCTCTCTGAGTGCCTGTTGTATATAAATGACTCTGTATTGGCTTGTTCACAGTGATTGCCTGATTTAATCACTGCAACAACTGTGTGGGGTGGGATTATTATTATTCCCAATTTAGACAGGAGGAAACTAAGTTTCAAAGAGTACATTTTTCAAGGCATTACAGATACTGTGGAAATAGAAATATCTAACTAGAAACTTATTCCTCTTCCTGCTATGCCATCACAGGTAAGACATACATATCCCAATGCCAATGTTAGCCCAGGACGACCCACTCTATTTCTCAAATAGGCACTTTCCTTTTGTTAAACTTGGATATAAAATGGTTTGAGGTCATTTCTACTTCTAATGATTTTGAACACAGCACAAAATTTTAACATTTGGTTGGATCTTAAAATATATGTTTAATTTTTTTTTTTCCAGACAATAGATTTTGAAGGTTTCAAACTATTCATGAAGACATTCCTGGAAGCCGAGCTTCCTGATGATTTCACTGCACACCTTTTCATGTCATTTAGCAACAAGTTTCCTCATTCTAGTCCAATGGTAAAAAGTAAACCTGCTCTCCTATCAGGCGGTAAGTTTACTGACTTTTAATGTTTATATAATACAAATTTCAAAGGCTAAATAAATATCTAGTTATCATAAAAAATGAATGATGATTTGCATAAAAATTGTTTTTTTTTGCAGTATTTAGACTTTCACAATAAGATTGTGTGAGTTATTTAAAATGTTTCCAGTATAATTATAGCTAATTAGAGAAAATATAATTTATCATTATCTATCACTTGCTTTAGAATTCTATGTTTAGGTAATAATTTGAAGAGATATTTCTATCAAATTTGGAAAACTGCTCTTTTTAAATAGCTAAATAAGTATAGATGGTGAGTATTTGAAAATGTGGTCATAAAGCAATTATATCTAAAAAACTTACAATATTTAATATCTATTGTGCTAATTGCCAATATACTTTCACATGTTTAGATTTGTAAGCTCAGAACAGAGATTTGATTTTTCTTTTAGATACCTTAAATTTGTGTCACCATAGAGATAGTAGTTCTCTCATTATGGGTAGATTTTTAGAGACGCATAATTACACTAATATCTGTTGTATCAATCTCCCTCCAGTCAGGAAAACAGAAATTTCACTGTATTACCCAATGTAAAACAGTGTAATTGGTTAAACTGTTTTGGAGGGTTGAAAAAGCAAAAAGAAAACACAGGTGATGTAGATAGACTCACAGGAAACATGTGCTGCCCTTAGATGGCGATAATCACAACCCAGAAGCCCTTAGGAAGGATTCCTTGGAGCTAGGATGAAATTCTGAGGTGAGGGGTTGCCTAGCGGACCCAGCTCTTGTGCTTCTGTGGCAATGATACTTCCCGGCTGCCTCTGGAATTCAAGCTCGGGAATTCAAGACGGGTCTATAGCCCAGGAACTCAGACCTATGAGGAGGGTGCATCACCGTGGCCTGTCCCAGATTGCCTAGCGGGGAGCTCATTGTGCCTTTGATGGTGTGAACATGAGCTAGAGACCAGAGCCTACACTGGACAACCCGCTACGGGGCTGAATGACTGCAGAGATTCAACAGGAGCAGCAGGTTCTCTCTCAGGGTCTACCCCTTCTCCCCCAACTCCCCTCCCCACTGCCCCAACCCCTGTGCCTTCTCATCTCTCTCTAGTGTCCTCTATGGACAGAGCAGGAATCCACTGGCAATGAAGAAATATCTGCAACAGTGTTTCTCACTCTGATCACAGGACTCTTTGAACTCTTAAAAACTGAGGACCTGAAGGAACTTATGTTTATGTGAGTGATATCTATTGAAATTTACCATATTAATGATGAGACATTCCAAAAATAACAAGAATCAGCCCACTACCTGTTAACAAAAAACAACCCATTCTTATGAAAAATAACTATTTTCAAAAACAAACAAAAATAGTGAGAAGGGTAGCATTGTTTTGCATCATTGCAAATCTCTTTAATGCCTGGCTTCATGGAGGAAAGCTGGGTAAATTATATCTGGTAGTATGTTTCTGTTGCTGGATCATATGTCATATAGCTTCTTGAAAACTTCACTGTACACTCAAAAGAGAATGAGAGTAAGAAAAGCAAATAATATCTCAATTCCATTATGAAAATTATTTTGACCTTAAAAATCCCCTTCAAGGAGCTCAGGGATCAAGGAGAGCCACAGGTCTAGAGATTCCCAACTCCAGAATCACAAAGTAGCATATAGAATTGTTGGTATAGAGGCCAGACACAGTGGATCATGCCTGTAATCCCAGGACTTTCCGAGGCTGAGGTGGGCAGATCACAAGGTCAGGAATTTGAGACCAGCCTGACCAACATGGTGAAACCTCGTCTCTACTAAAAATACAAAAAAATTAGCCAGGCATGTGGCAGGTGCCTGTAGAGAGAGAATCACTTGAACCCAGGAGGCAGAATTGCAGTGAGACGAGATCGCATCACTGCACTCCAGCCTGTGTGACAGAGCGAAACTCCATTTCACACACCACACACACACACATACACACACGTGTGTTGGTAAAGAGATAAGTTCAATAACGGACATTCTGAAAAATAAAAATGCAAGAACATGTAACTAAGAAATAGATGGTTGAGTCATAAATGAAACTTAGATAATATGACGAAGAGTCCATAATATTAAGCATTACATTGTACTGCTTCCCTCCCTCCCTCCCTCCCTCCTTCCTTCCTTCTTTCTTTCCTTTTCTTTTTCTTTCTCTCTCTTTCCCTCCCTCCCTCCCTCCCTCCCTTCCTTCCTTCCTTCCTTCCTTCCTTCCTTCCTTCCTTCCTTCCTTCCTTCTTTCCTTCTTTCCTTCTTTTCTTTTTCTTTTTCTTTTCTTTCCAGAGTCTGGAGTGCAATGACGAGTCAGGCTGGAGTGCAATGATGTGATCTTGGCTCACTGCAACCTCTGCCTTCTGGGTTCAAGGGATCTTCCTGCCCCAGCCTCCCAAGTAGTAGCAATGATGTGATCTTGGCTCACTGCAACCTCTGCCTTCTGGGTTCAAGGAATCTTCCTGCCCCAGCCTCCCAAGTAGTTGGGAACTACAGGTGCATGCCAACATGCCCAGCCAATGTTTATATTTTTAGTAGAGACAGGGTTTTTTCATGTTGGCCGGGCTGGTCTCGAACTCCTGGCCTCAAGCAATCTGCCTGCCTCAGCCTCCCAAAGGGCTGAGATTACAGGCATGAGCCACGGTGTCTGGCCTTCGCATCTATTAATGATGTAATGTATTTTTCCTAAAGTAATCATATGTTGATAGAAGCTTTTTTAAAACAAGTGTACCTATTCTACATGATAGCCCTTCAAGATGTATGATGACTAATACGTTTATCATCATTTTTCTCTTCTTATAAAAGATTTTTAGATTTTTAAATCATTCTCTTTCAATCACGAATTGAGAGGCTCGCCACACTTTCTGTTTTTCTCAGAATGAGTTTCAGTGGATCTGTTCTTAATGTGTAGTATTACAGTTTAATAGTGTTTTAGGCTGAATATTTTTAAATGATTCTAGGAATTAAAACTTCCATGTTCTCTGCTGCATGCTATAAATGTATCACACATACCTCAAATTGAATTAAACAAGAAAGTTGTCCTGTATTTAATTCTACATAATATGATATTGTCCTTGAGTTTTGAGAAAGAAGAGAAAATCTTTATGGATAATTTTGTCTGTCTAAAAAACTGTATCACACATAGAAGAGAACAATTCTGATAATTTAGATGATTTTGTAAGAATTTCAAACCTAAACCTTCCTTTTCTTCTAATAGCATATATTAAGTACTGAATAGAAGATGCCAGATTTACTAGAGGTAAAAATCAAATCAGGTTTCAAAATGGAAAAAAAACAAACAAAACAAAACAAAGCAAAAAAACGAAAAACAGATTGTACTTGATTTGGGAAAAATTGCACAGACTACATGAAAGGAATATGGGCTGTGTAATCCTCATGAAGCAATGATTAATTAAACTCCAATTCCTTTTCAAAGCTTGGCCTCCACATTTTAGAACTAAGTACATAGTGTACTCTCCAGGACTATTTCTAACCCTATATATTTTTTCAGACCCACCTTTGATGGTTTTTGTTTTTGTTTTTGTTTTTTCCATGAGGAAGAAGCAACAATAGACAACAATAAAATTTTCATGGCTGAGGTAGCCTTGACTCAGAAACTGACAAAAGAAATGCCTTTCCATTCATAGAATCTTGCTTTGCAATAATCTGTTATCTAATGTATAATGAGGTGTTTTTGTGGCTGAAAAATAACAGACTTTTGAACAGAGAGGGACTATAATCTGGTTTGGTTTTCCTGTTACCGGTCACCATATTTCATTACCACAGTTCCAGCAGGAATAGAGTAGCTAGTCTTTTACTCTATATAGCAACTAAAAAATAAGGGCTTCTCAAGAAAAAGCAACACTGAAAAGGAAAAATAATTATGCTCACTACAGAACGATAATCAATTATAAGATATATGGTAAAAGTAAACATTTGGTTTTTATAGAATAAAAATTTTAAAATAATTTTAAATAGGCATAAAGGTTGTATGTATTTATACATGTGCATATGTATATCTGGATTTTATTTGACTATAGTATGTAATGATCCATTTGGCATTTAATGAAGAAGATGACTTATTTTCGTAATATAATTTGTTGTAATATAAGTGCCTCTTATCACCTATTTAAAAATAATGTCACTACTTCTACTGTTTCCATATTTGACTTTTGATTTTTGAAGATATCCCTAATGCATTATCTCTTCAGCTTTTTCATACCACTTTTGCGTCATTGCAAATGTCAGGTCTCTAATCTCTCATCTCTGCCAGTTCAATGACCAATTTCTGATCTTGCTTTCATCCTTAGGGTCCACTACTTGTTAATTACTCTGTTTGTACACTTTTAAAATCAGTTAGAATCTTTCTTTTTCTACAACATGGTTGCAGAAAGATGGTTGAGGCTCACAACCTCAACCGTCAATCAAAATTGTTATCTCCTATATCAGTCCCTACAACTTGAACACTCAACATAACCTGAGAGAAATTTCATAAATATGCAGATTTCTGCCACTATAAATTCCTAGTATCCGATGTTTATATGACCTTAACGCTTCTCCAGTTTTTTTAAAAAAGTAGCAATTATTTATTGGCACTGTATCCTAGATCAATTATGTTGATTTTAAAAACTTTTTAAAGTTTATTTAAATATGTCTTCTCATTTCAACATGACTGTTTTTGCATCATATAACACATTGGCACTGTAAGACATAACATACCTCAATTACTCCCCACACAACCTACACAGATCACAAATAATATTTATTTACTATATTTTAGATGGAACTCTTTGTCTGAATGTCCAAATATTTCAAAGAGTTAGATACCAAACTGACTGTGTTTGAAACTTCATTAGTTAGATTCTACCTAAACCTGCTACTATTCCTACCTTCTATTTTGGTGAATAGCATCCAAGAATCTGTCCACTTCCCAGTCCTAAAATATTGGAATCCTCCTACCCTCCACTGTGTCATTTCTCATATTTAGTTAATC